CCCCAAAACCCCAAAACCCCAAAACCCCACAGTATTATATATGCTCGTGATTTGATGATTAATTATTATTTAATAATTAAAATTACGAATGTAATTCAACTCATAACCATAACAAACTTTTAATTCTCAATCATACTATCAGCCAAACACTACTGCTAGGTAAAATACCCTATTCTTACATTACCCAATTATAGTGCAAATGTTAATCTTCAAGGCTAAACCTAGGATTCAACAAACATGACAGCAATTAATGGCCAAGCAACTACAACACCTACTTTTAACACAGGTGCGGCTGTCTTCGTCCCCAAGAAAAAGATTGCTGACGGAGGTGCAACTGGACAGGCAGTGTTAGATACAACAAGCTAGACTAATACCATGATGGGTCAGCCAGGTTAATACAACGGTGCACAACAATTTAACAGAATGCCATAAGCATAAAACATATATCAACCTTAACAGTATCAGCAACCAATTAACTATGGCTATGCCAATTAAGGTTACCAATAACCAAGTAATAATCATTCCCTCTCTAATTTCCCTTATTTTATAGTGCAGCAACCACTTTACAACTAATTCTAAAACTCATTCTAAAACTAGTACTACTAGAATTATCAACAGCCACAAATGAACTATGCAAATACTGGGTTCCAACCAACTCAATAGAATACCATGTTAAATGCTAGCTAAGCCCCACCATTTAAAAAGAGTTTGAATCTTCAAGCTAATGAGTTCTAGCCTAAATCATCTACCGCTTCCCAGTCTACGTCAAAGGTAAATAGCCCAAAGAATAATCCTGCTCCAGGAGCTGCCTAGAATGGATTTAGTTAGACTGCTAATTTTGCGTCAGCCTAATTGCAAAATTTAGATACTACCAATATCTCTTTGCCATAAACTATGGCTAACTCAATCTCACATTAACTTAATTTGGGAGCATCAACTTTCATCCCAACCAAAAAGGCTTAACAGACCGTAACCCCCTAGATTCAGTAGACACCCTAGATTCAAGCTGTGATAACTCCTGTTGAAGATATCACAAGTAAGGCACTTAGCAAATTGTCAGAATCTGACTAGAAATATTTGAAATCACTCATAACTAAGGTGAAGTCATCTGGAAAGTTAACCCTTGAACTTCTCAAAGAATTCAAAACTCTTGACATCGCAAAGTAAACACCTACTAATTACTATACTGAAGTTGCTACAAGATCAGTGATCCAAAAGGATGAACAAAGAGCTCCAGCAAGAGGAGGATATAAGCCAAGAGGTGGATAGTAAAACATAGGGGAAAGAGACAACCAAAGAGGGGGTCATGGTGGTGCAGGCAGAGGCAAGCAGCACTATCCTCCTAGAGTTGAAAATGACAGCTTTGCAACTGGTTAAATCAAATAACAACAACCAGTTCAAAATAACAACTTCACCCATCATGCCAGGCAAGAAGAACCAATGGATGTATTCCAAAGACAAGAGGCTAATAAGTTCAAGTAGGAATTGACAAACCAGTCTAAGATGGCTATTGAAAAAGCTAGATCAGAAAAGAATATTGAGCAACAGATTAAGCTGATCTGCAACATTATCACCCCAAACAACTTTGACAAGAAATTCTTAGAACTTAGAGGTCACTTATTCGGTGATCTTAAGCTCAAGGATGAAGATGGCTACCACCCAGAGAAAGATATTCTCAAGGAGTAGCTCAACTACACTAACATGAGAATAATTGTTGACAGAATTTTCAATAAGGCTCAGAACGAGCATGAATATTGCAACTTCTATGGAGATTTGTGCCAATAGATGATTAAACTTGAATTAAACTTGAGAAATCTTGATACCAGAATCAGTAACTCTAAATACTCTAACTTCAGAAAAACTCTTCTCGAAGAATGCAAAACAAGTTTTGAATAATTCTTCAGCGTAGACTAAGATCAAAGAAAGTAAATGAATTAAGATCAGCTGTATAAGTTCCAAAAGAAGCTAATGGGCAATGTCAGATTTGTCGGTGAGCTCAACAGACGTTAACTTTTGCAAGATTCCATTATCATTTCTGTACTTAACTCCCTTATTGGAGCAGAAACTGAAGCTCAAAGAAAATTTGTCAACGATGATACCCTTGAGGGTGCTATCACCTTGATGAATAAGATTGGAAATCTTATTGATGATAAACTAACCAAAATGACATAAGAGATTCAAAACCCCAATTTTAAGGCTGATAGAAAACAAAAGAATGAGCATACAATCAAACTCTTTGAAAACATTTTCAATAAATTTGAGGAAATTGCTTTTGATAATGGAGAGAAATATGCTGACATTTCATTGAGAGTCAAGATTTTGATTAAGAATATGCTTGATAACAAGAAATCTGGATGGGAAAAGACTAAGAAGCAAAATGAAGGAGGCCCTAAAAAGGTTGAAGATTTGAGAAAGGAAATCTAAGCCAAGTAGATGGAGGAAGAGAAATTGAGAGAGGCTGAATATTATGAAGAGCAATAAACAAGATACTACGATAATAATAATAGAAGAGGAGGTGATCGCAGAGATAACAAATATGGAAAGTCTAATACTGTCTACGCCAAAAGAGGAGGTAGAGGTGGATTCGGAGGTGGAGATTATGATACCACTTCTCAAGGTTCATATAATAACGACAGAAGACAAAGTTAAAGATAAGATAGAAACTAGAAATATCAAGCAAAGAATAGGCCACAAGGAGAAAGAGGTCAGTAACAAGAGGCCAAGCAAATGGAAGATAGCTAAATGGCTAAGAACGTTGTCGAAAACTTCCACGCATACGATGAGTCATTGAAGAATGAGAGTGAGAGTCCTCTTCAGCCAGACCACTTCAACATCTTCAGTGAGTTGAAGACTGTATATCAAAAATAAGGGGAAACCATCTTCTACTAGTTCCTAAACAAAGTTTACGACTCTACTGAGGATCAGATTATGAAGTCTCTACCTAACTATCTTAATGAGGTTGTTAAGACTAAGTTTTTATCTTCTCAAGATATCACCAAGGGTATAAATAAGTTCTTGCAAGCTGTACCTGATCTTGCTAGTGACTATCCCAAGATAGGACAATATCTTTCTAAGACCCTATTTACTCTAAGTGAACTAGGTGTTCTTAACTACATCGAAATCATTTGGGTAAATGATGATGCTCAAAAGTCAGAGGATGACATGATCTTTGTTGAAGCATACTTCGAGATTATGGCAGGACTTTTGAATTAAGAATATTAGAAGCTTAAGGATTGGAAAGCAGTTGCTGATCTTTACGTATCCAAGTAATTGAATTAGAAATTCAGAAAAATGAAGGATATGATCTTAGTTGATAGTCTTTTCTCTGATATCTAAGCTGAATATCCAGGACAAGCTGGTCAGGTTATCACTGCATTACTTCAGCAAAACAGTGATCTTCTTAGTCAGCTAGTATCAGTATCCATTAATTTATGAGGGAGCTACTTTAAGAGTTTATGATTTCAATTCATAATTAACAGCTAGGCCTAGTTTTTAAGGTAATTGTAAAGACCGTGTTGCTCAGTAATTTAAAATATACTGACTCGACATTCTTGGTCTTTGATTTTCCAAAATTACTAGGTTACTTAATACTACTTTTATTTTTTTTGCTTAAAAATTAACACCATATCTAGTTCTGAGGGGTTTTGGGGTTTTGGGGGTTTTCACTCATCCAGAAGAGAAAGAT